TCCTGCTCTGGATCCACAGCAGTGAGTTTCGCCTGTGTTGTCTTCGCCTAAGTCCGTTGCAGTTCCGTGCCCCAAGTACTTCCTCCATCTCTGTGCTATCTCCGTTTTGCTGACTGAGCAGAGATTTGATTTTTCCCATACATTGTCCTCTAGTTGCCTGTTCCCTGTGAATATACCTAGAGAGCTGGAAGATTTCCAAAGTGCTGTGCCAGAGCGCTTTGCTCTCCCTTGCTGAGAAGAAAAGGGTTGTTGAGATGTTGGGTTTCTTTATAATAGTATTAGAACGGGGAGATTATTTGGTCAAACAACTAACTTCCTTTCCAAGGAAGGAGTGTGGTTTGGGTGCGTGACACAGCAACTTTCTCTTCAGCTAGCGTCGAGCGCAGTGTGGTACTGAATTCAGTGCTGAAACATGTGCGGGCTGGGAAGGAACCCGAGAAAGATGCCTGTTGTTCTCCACACAAGGGATGGTTTGTTCCGGGATTTTTACAATGGCAAAGAGAAAACAAAAAAAATCCCTCGTGTTGTGAAAATTACTTGTATCCACGCCATCAGAAATATTAGGAGGCTTCTTTGTGCATTGATTTTGGCACTTAAAGGACAATTTAGGTTAGAAGGGACCTCTGAAGTTTCTCCAGTCAAATCCCCACTTAAAGCAGGGCTAATTTTAGAGATTGGGCAGGATGCTGGATTTTGTAATCCCTGATGGTATTTAAAAGCTCATGAATTCTTGATGAGTGTGTTACCAGGTTATTGTGAATTGTATATTTGCTTTATAGGAGTTAGATTACAAAGATACTTGTAATCATATGACTCATTTTTTGTGGGGAATGTCTCATAAAAAATAATCAGCTCAACTTGTTTGGGATATGCAAGTTGTGACAAAGCTCTGAAAGATTTTTAGGCTCAGTATGGAATGTCTTGGGGAACTTGGGAGTGGGAGAGAAGGGAAGAATAAGCAGTGCTCAAAGCTATTTTAGAGCAGGATGTACATGCTGGTGCAGTCCAGCTTGTGTGAGTGCCCACCGAGTGTCCTCACTTTGGCTCAGCTGGCTTCTTGGGAAAAGTGTGTAAGTAAATCTGTGTGCTACACTGAGTTTTATTGACAACTTGAAAACACAGACTTTCCAGGGTGGTTGTTTTTGACACAGCTGCAATAGGTCCTGTTTACACTGATAAAATAAATGTTTAAGGATAGCTATCCTCTTAACGACATTTTTTTTCTCTGATTGTGGGTGGGAGGGAAGCAAGACGTAGAAAACCATGTTTTCACTGGTCTTGACACAAAGTGGAGACCATCAGCTGGCACTTACATCAGGATTAAGACTAAGCTTGTTTAAATTCTGGTTAGCTGAGTACTGACAGACCGTAAAATAACTCACTCTTATCTTGGAGATCTCTTGTGGTCACCACAAAAACACACAAAAAGATGTTTTTCCTTTTTTTTCTTTGGCCTCTGCTCTCTGTAAAGAGAAGTGCCTGTTCCCTTGTGGAGGTTTTAGCAGAGCTGAGAGCTTGCAGATCTCATAGTTCCAGAGAAAATGATGCTCTTTGGCAAAGGGATATTGCCAGTAAAGCAGGTAACGGGGCATAGAAACGCTGGGTTAATTTACCAGCAGAGCCTCTATATCGAAACGTTTTTCTAACGTTGAGCACTGTGCTGGCTTTTCAGTTGTCTCCAGGGTTGTTTGTATTGCTTTGGCATGCAGTGTGTGTGTGTGTAGGGGGTTAGGAGTAGAATAGGCTGAAGCATAGGGAAAATCTTACTTGTAAAAATGCACAGTTCTACAGCAAAGCACAGTTTAGCATGCAGATCTTAAAGTTCAGCGCTGTGTGCCCAGCTTCAGACAAGCTTTCTGTAATTCCCGTTCCCTGTACCCACCCACCCCATAAAGAAGGTGACCATGTGTGCAGTTAAAAAAAAGGGGGGGAATGATTAAGATATGCTGAAACCAATCTTGCCGTGGATTGGGCAGCTGTTCTTTCGTAACCACCGCAGCAGGGTGACTGTGGCACGTAATGCTCAAAGACGGTCCTGGCCGCAAGGCAAAGGCTCCAGAGCTGGACTCCCGCCTAGTCCTGCCCACTTGCCACCCGTGGCAGCGCAGCTTGTCTTGGCTCCAGCCTGCGCTGGCGTTTGGGGGGAGCTGGTGGCGGTTGATGCTCCTGCGGGAGGCATGGGTTCTGGTGAGTGCCTTCATCTCAGTGTTAAAGGCTTACGGGATGCTCTGTCCTATCTTCTTCTTGGGGATTATGGCTTACGGGATGCTTTGTTCTATCTTCTTATTGTGGGTGGTTGTTTGACATTTAAAAACTTGTTGAGTTTCATCGCAAGGCAATAGCGTTTGTATTTTAAGGTGGGGTGGAGAGTTGTGAAGTTATTTTGAGCTTCAGATTTCCTTAAACAGCAGCTAAACAGAAGTGAAGCTGCTGGTTGCAAATGCTCGGCTGTTTTCCATTTAGTCTCTTCACTTGGGGTTCAGTGACATAGATGGGTCAGGACTCAGCCTGTCTTGATAGCAAGTGTTTTAATAATCCCAGCTGCTGTTTCCCATTCGTATTTTTCAAAGTTTCTCACTGTGGGGTTTGCTTAGCAGGGGAGGAATCTCAGTATCACCATGTAGAGCTGCTTCTTCCATTCCTCTGTTTATTGAAATAGCAAAAGATTTGCATATTTGAGTAGGGCTTTTTGTCACTGAGTGTAGACCTGAGAGTCCAATTAAACTAAAGAGGTGTGTTGACTAAATTTAATGATCTCCTCTCTATCAACTACAACCGAGTGGAAGCTGGCTTTTAGCCATGCTAATAATGCTAACAATATTAATAATGCTAATAAAATAAAAAGCTAGGTGAGAACTACTCATTAATCTGTTGCTACAAATTTGCCAACATTTTTGTACATAAATGGCATGCACAAGAGATTAATAATTGGGTTTCACACACCACACCCCACCCCAACCCCACCCCCCCCTCTTGTAACTGAGAACTAAGAGAAAACCAGTTCTGGATCAGACAAGATTCAAGTCCAAAGAATAGTTGGATAATCAAACACTAGGAGGGAGCAGGGCTAGAGTCTTTTGGGTCTGCCACAGAGATTTTAAGTGTTAACACACGGGTATTGCTGCATTACATCAATACATTTTGTGTTACATTTTGGTCATTCCAAAGGCTGGAGTCAGGATGGTCTTTGGAATGAGTCAGATATCAAAAAATTATTGTTACAGTATGACTTTATGTTTGAAAAAAATATGTGGAGAAAGCAGACGGTGGTCTAGGAAGGTTTCCCTTGGTTAGAAATAAGTAGCGAAATGGGGTAGAATCTGTTCTCTTATCTGCACTGTGTTTGTGTAAACTGGCCTTGTTTGCTGCTTGGGATCACGGATTACTCACATTTCTAGATAACTGTGATACTGCGTTCCTTGGAACCAAGTATCCTAAAAGATACTAAAAAAACAAAGCCGTCTTTTTTTCAGAATGTTTTCTAGCTATTTCTGCAGTTAGGCAGTTGGGTTGCATTCATCTGTCAGTAATAGCTAGAGCTAGTTTTAAGGATGAAAAGGGATTTTCTCCCAGAAAATTCTGGGTACCATGGCTCTGACACAAAAGTGAGGAGCGACGCCTAGTTCTGACTTCCTGAATTCTGGCAATATCCCCAGCTAGCGGTGGGGATAAAGACTGTGTGTGTCTCTGGTTTATTGGCAGTCACTGTTCTAAACAATAATATTTTCCTATGTTTATAAGCGAAAAAAACCCTCTCCCATAGAAAGGTATATACAGACAGCAGTATTTACCAAACCAGTCTATCAGGGAAAAGGGTTTTGCAGATGGCTCTGGAAAAAAATTGATTCTTTGTATTGTGTAATACTGAAGTTGGGTGACTGCAAAGCTGCAGCCCTTTGTAACACATAACTGTTTTAAGTGTAGAGTGTCTTCTTATACTGCCAAAACTCCAGTGACTCTTGTACCAGTTATTGCTCAGAGCTGGATCTTGAATGTTGTCCATGAGGCAGGGCTAAGCGTGCTTTCCTGCAGCCTCAGAACTGAGACTGCCTCACTGGTAGGTGGCTGTCAGCCCTTTCCAGGCTTGTGAAACATGTGCAAGGGTCAGGATTGGGCTGGGTGGGGGGTTTGTGGATGGATGGTGGTTAAATAAAATTGCTACCAAACTAGAGTCACCGGTAACAACCAGCAGTGTTGTACTTTAAGGCTGGAGCAAGAGCATGTAATGGCTTCCATTGCAATGTTATCAGTTCTCACTGATGGGTGTGAGTTTAAGTTGTTTGTTCCTGATGTCATTTCTGCTTTAGCAAGAGTGGAAATCAGTTAGCATATAGAAGGTGCTGTCCAGGGCATGTTTGTAATGTTGGCTCACTGTGTCTAATAAAATGGTTGCAAGTCTACATATTTCTGTCTGCAGGCATGACCGATAAGCTCTAATTTTGGCTTGGTGCCTGGTTTGGTTCTGGTGTGGAACTATAAGGAACAGGAAAGGTTACCAGTTATGGTGAACCAGATACAGATATTATTTTTTATGCCTTCTGTGTTTATTTGTAAAATCCACTGTTTAATATAGATTAGTTGGGGGGGGAAAACCACAAAACTACAAATGCTTCCTTTTGAAAGAAACCACTGTCTTATTGGAATAAGTTACTGGCTAACACAGAGGTCAGCTTGTAGAGGCTCTTTATAATAAACACACATACTTCAATCAGCTTTCTCCCTGTTGCATCTGAGCACTTTAATCGTTAATGGTTTTGTTAGTCTGGTAGCAGGAAGCGGTAAGAATGTCGTGTTAATAATTTTGATGCGGGCCAGGTGCAGAACTGGAATGTAATCTAGATCTTCTAAAACCCAGCTGAGTACGTTAATAAATATACAGATCATCTCCAGTCAAATGAAAAATATCCATGTGAGCTTTTAGTTGTTTTAATGCAGTTCCTCCTTGTCTGGCATCACTGATGTCCAGGGTTAGAGCTGCTTTCTTCTTTCTCTTTCCAGAAATGTCCTTCCTGCCCGACTTTGGGAACTTCACCATGGGTGTGTGGTCTATTGGTCTTGGAGCCATTGGTGCAGCTGTGACAGGGATCGTCCTTGCTAACACTGACTTATTTTTGTCCAAGCCAGAAAAGGCTACTTTGGAGTTTTTAGAGGAGATAGAGCTAAAAACTTTGGGATCAGGTAAGATTCTGGATGTTTCAGCTCATGTTCTTCTGTAACTGGGCTTTTGTAACACCAGGGGTTTTTTTCTTAGTCTTTCCTAGTTTTGTAAGTTGTTATCATGTAGTTGGGTGTCCCTCATAGCAGATAATTCTGGTGAAGGAAAAGCAACCAGATTCAATAAAGCAATAATACCATACTGTGCATATAGATTCCCCCCCCCCCCCCCCGATAGAACTGTATTTGAAAGTGGAATTCTCTGCAGTGCTTTATGTTGGTTCTTAAAACATTGATCATTATAAAGAATGGCTGATATTATTGTTGATGCTTTCTCCTGTATAAACAGAACAAAAAGCATTCAAAGCAGGTGAACTATGGAAGAAGAATGGTGCAGTGATCATGGCTGTGCGAAGACCTGGATGATTTTTGTGCAGAGAGGTACTTGCTGGGCTTGGGGATTAGTTAGGAAGAGTTAAGCTCTATTTGAATAAATTCCGTTTAAATAAAGGTAGGGGGTGAATAGGACAGTCATCAAATACGTCACAAGTATCTGAAAGATCTTGTTTCCTAACCCAAACTGGTTGCCAGCTAACAGCATACTTAGTTTCCTTTGCAACTGTTGTGTATAGTCTAGGTCCTGAGCATTTTCCATCTGAAGGCGATGGACACTTGGTTTTTACATCTGACAGGGACCTAGCCCATGGTAATTAGGAAGGGAGATTACACAAAATCCAGTTTGGAATGAGTTTTATGAGATAGCTGTATTCCATATGTCCAAAATGCATCTCTGAGACCGCGAGTCTGCTCAAAGGCAGCCCAAGACTGGACCAGCAGAAAGCCATCAGATAAAACTCATTAGCAGGAGAGAGATGTGCATAAAGGGAGTGTTTTGCTTCTCTGGATGCTGAATGTGAGGCAGGAAGGTAAGGAGTCTGAAGACAAGGAGTTACTGTTCCATGACAAAGTGGGTTGGGAAGCAAAATTGGATCCTCAAGTTGGCATTAGATTTCTTAGGTGGAGGAGATACTTAAGATACAATTTGAATCTACCGTATGCCTGGGAACAGCCATAACTTGCACCTTGGCCATTATTTTTCTCATAGCTATGGGGAAAAATAATAGCTATTATGTTGTTACTCACTGCTCTGTAACAAGGAGTAATTAATATCGCAACCACTTAATTAAGGGATTTGCTCCCATCAGTAGTAACTGCTTAAGTATGTGTAGAATTCATGGAAGGTTAAAGATTAAAGTACTTTGCTCTCTGAACAGGTGTAGCATAGGCAGAGGGAGAACATGCTACATGCCTGACTGTGCTTTTTGCATACAGTCAGAGAGGAATTCATTGATATTTTACTTTCTTTTTTTAATGCTAACTTCCTAAGTAGAAATAAAGAGCCCAGTTCAAAGAATTGTGGTTTATCCTTTAAGAAATTTAATTTTGTAATTCTTATTTTTGGTTCAGAACTTCAGATTTTTAACAGGCAGTCACACCACTGATCAGCTAATTAGGGCTAAGAATTGTTTTATATTTTAACTGTGAAACTGTTTGAAAAAGCCTTTAAGTTGTCCAGACTGAACTTATTTTTGATTGTTGTAACTCAAAGTATTTCTGTGAGTTGACTCTTGCCATTGTCCTAAAAACCAGTTCAGTTGCCCCTTTTATTTGTCCATTAATGTTTCTCCATAGTACGAAATCTGCTTGTTTCTTCGCTGTCACTGACTTGCAGCTGGTGGAATGGTTTAACACATGTGTCTTGCCACATATGTTAACCTGCAGGCAGTAGGTTTTTATGTTTTTGCAAGAGACAAAATACACTTGCTTCCCACTATCTTACATCTTGGAAAGGATGTTGAACTTTGTCCTTGTTGACACCGTCAGGAAGGAATATATACTTCCCTGGTCACAGTGATGGGGTTGAAAAGTGACCATTCTACCTCATAGATCACCAGCCCGTCATTAGTGGTGGGGACATGCTTCTATTATCTTCTGCAAAGTCACAAATCCTAGTGGAATGATATCTTTGGATCCTTGAGAACTGAGGCCTGTAGACTTAAGAAATATGGAGGCTTTTATTTTTATCATTGGCATCCTAAATCATAAGATTCTTCTTGTGTTAAGATAGACACTTCTACATCCCATGGTCTGGATCTGGCCATGTAGTGATCCAGTGCTCCAGTCATTGTATAAGTGCCATGGGCTCGTGAAATATCTAAGGGATCAACTTGAGCAGTTGAAAGTAGCAGAAGAGGTAGAGTTGAACTATCAGGGGACAAACTGAAATGGGAATTGTTCTTTTGGCTTGTTCTGCCATGGTGGAGAGAGGAAGTATTCTTGCAGGGTGCGTTTATCTGCTTTTTACAGAACCAAGTAAACAGTTTCACAGACTAGACGAAATGGTCACATCCCCGTGGTAAGGCTGTACAGCTGCTACATGCTATGATTTGAACACAAAAATAGGCTACTTTGCCTTCTCTTATTGTATCATTTTTAAATAGCAGTAAAGGAAAACAAGTCAGATCTAGTCCCAAGATGCTGCTTGAAGTCTAATCTCTTGAGAATTTTAAAACTTAACTATGCTGTTACATTTCTCCTGTTCTTTCACCTCCCCAAAGCCAAGCAAGGAGACACAAAATAATCCCCATCAAACTGCTGAAGTCCCTTTCTCTAAAAGGCTAATTGATGGTGTCGCTATCTCTGATTTCTGGTTGTACAGGCGACCCCACTGCACTAGCCTGGAACATTAGTTCTCAGAGATGTTAGGTCACAATACAGTTTTTCTTCCTTTGTTTTGTTGATTGTGAGAGTTTTGAAGTATATAAAAAAATCGCATCATGATGCTGAGTCATTCTTTGTCATTTCCTCTGAAAAAGGCAGAGTAGTGAACTTGAAAGCCGCCCTTAACCTTTCACCTACTGATGTCCTTAGTGTTTTTTTCTCCTGTCTGTTCACCCCTGTCTGTCTGCTGCTTGAAACTCAGTAAATTCTAGATATCCCACAAGCCTTTGAGTTACAGCATTTTGGTTAGATGGCTGAGGGTGTTCACGTAAACAGTGTCCATTTTTTAAAGTGTGGAGTCCTTTGGGGGAACTGGGTTCTCTGGGTTTTTCCCAGTAAAAATGACCTTTCTCCATTGGAGAGGAGAGCAACCATGTTTGCAGTGTGCACTCTGACCTGTTGGAAACCTCAGGGGCCTTTGCACCGAGGGAGCTGAGATTCCTTCAAAAAAAACAGCAGATAAGTGGCGATACCTTACGTTCTTACACACCAGAGAAAGCAGTATGACTTCTGGGATACTGGAGGTTTATGAAGAAATTCCCTGATTTTCACTGGGAAAGTTAAGTGATGTGCAGGCACTCTATTTTCAGTGTTCTGTAAACACTTTCACAGATACTTGAAGCTCTAGCACAGGCAAGGTATATATTATATAGCTTTGAGTTAAAATTATGTTTTCTCCAGGATTTTAATATTTTATCTAGTAAATTCTCTAAAACCTTCCTTCCTCTGTGCCTAATGAAGAAAATTTTAGTAAATCTAATGAAGGCCTGCCTAGGAGTAGAGCTAGCTTAAATGTCTGATTCACAGATCTGTTTCAGTTTTGCACCTCAAATTAGAATTTATTTGAGTTTCTGATGCTCTTGAAATTTAAAGTGCAGCTTTCCAACCTCCATCTACTGCCTGAAATGTCTGGGGTTTTTTTTGTTCCTTTCTCAGGAGGCTTCTGAGCTCTCCTCTCTGAAACCTCAGCTGTCTAAGCTGGGTGTCCCTCTCTATGCTGTTGTGAAAGAGAAGATAGGGACTGAAGTGGAGGATTTTCAGCATTATTTCCAAGGAGAAATATTTCTGGATGAAAAGGTATAGTGAAGTCGGTGTTCTCCTTTTGTTTAAAAACGAGCTTATGAATGTCCTCTTTAAAGAGCTGGTATAAATAATGTCGTTAGAATGTGGTCTGATAGGAAAAGGATTTAGTAGCATTGTAGTTTAAGAAGTTAATTAGCTTTGCTTTGCTATATATATATATATATCTCCAGCTCAGCTTACAAAATGCTCTGTAGCTATGCGTTGATAACATGCTGTTGCAGGATTAGTCCTCCCCTTCCCTTAAACAGGTAAACAGTGTGACCTATTAATATTTATTCCTTACTTCCACTGGCTGTGTGACTTGCTGGTGTTTATGATGTGTGAATCAAGGTCTCAAGGTGACAGAAATTAATTCATGATGTACAGGCCAAATAGCAGTGATGTGGCTTGTTCAAGTCCCCTGGCACATGCTGTATTTCCAGTCTCATGTCCTACAAAACCACAGCCCTGCTTACACCATAACACTGAAGGCGTGTTTAGAAATTGTTTGGCTTCTGAAGGAAAAAGAATACGTAATACTCAAAATCAACTAGAAGATAACTTATTTTCTGTCCAAACTCTGTCTGTGTGAAAGAATCAGGCTGATTTAAAACCACACCAAACAAAAACCAGATGGCTGATAAAGTTTCAGGACGTGGCACCACTGTTATCTCTTTACCAGCATTTTTGTTGCCTTACTTCAAAAATAAGAAACAGGATGTTTATCGCAAAGCAGCCTTGCTGTGAGCAATAGGGATGTACGTGGGGCTTAAATGCCTCTGGATCAGTTGAAAACCCACATGAATGGTAGCAGTACCACTAGCTGCCTCTGTGGAGGTAAGTGGTCATGTAGTGCCTTAAAGAGGTGTAATTTCTTTTTAGCTCTGGTTAGCTTTTGTGTTACGACCTTGCTTGAATTGAGGATCGGCTAGTTTCCTGAATTTCATTTGGGGGGAAAAGTCCTCTTCACTTTTTGTTTGCTGAGTTTTCTGTTTCCCTGCAGAAAGGCTTCTATGGTCCACGCAAACGAAAAATGATGCTGTCAGGCTTCTTCCGCTTTGGAGTCTGGCAGAATTTCTTCCGTGCTTGGAAAAGTGGATATAGTGGTAACCTGGAAGGAGAAGGATTCACCCTGGGAGGAGTATATGTGATTGGGGCAGGAACACAGGTACTGCAGGCCACCTAAGAGGCTTTTATGTCTCCTGTGAGACCAAAAGTTTCTTTTCCGGAATTGTTCAGTTGCTGGTCAGTTGATCTCCTGTGAGGAGACTAGTGTATGAATTTCTGTCTTGTGTCTTTGACCAGGGTGTTTTACTGGAGCATCGTGAGAAAGAATTTGGAGACAAAGTCAGCCTTCCATCTGTCCTTGAAGCTGCTGAGAAGATAAAACCACAAGCTTCGTAAGCAGGAAAATAGTCGCACATGTTTCTGATCACAGCTTGAATCGTTAATAGAATGTATCTGTTTCTTGAACATGCAGTTTAATTGCTTCTTAACTATGTAGTGATCAACGCAGAGGACGGTTTCTCTATTCAAACATACAAAATGATGGAAATCCTCCTGGATCTTTTTTTGTTGCTTTGCAGCCTTTCAGGTGGTCAGGATTTCAACTGCTCTTTTGTGTCTGACTGTATTAATGAAAGGCTGGGTCTAAAATCTGGCCTAGCCTAGATGTTTTCAGTCAGAGACAGTCGGTTCAAAACCTGTCTACCCAGGGGTGCAGAATTCTGCTAAGGCTGGAGTAATGGTGTTCACCTGAGGTTGAAGGATAATAAAACTTTATGTCAATGAAATGCCTTCGCTTTTTGCTCTTTCATTAACATGTACACACATCTGTGTTTCTAGCAGACTATTTCTAGCAGACTAAATCCTGTCAGTCTAGATTATTCTGAGATTCTGCAGTCAAGACATGCTGCTATGTCTGCCTGCAAATTTCTTGTTAGTTAACTACTGGCTCTAGGTCTTTATGTGATTCCCTGCAAGAAAGATTGAAAACATCTAATGTTGACTTCAGAAAATAGCTGTGGCATGAGGGCAAGCTCCTTCTTGTGTTTAAGATTCTTAATAAAAAGGAAAACAAAAGGGAACAACATCAGAGAGCAGATGAGGTAGAGTTTCCATCTTGGCTTGAGTTCTGCAGTGGGATGACTGGGCTGTTACTCCTAAAAATAGACGTAGCATTGCATGGTATGATCCATGAGAGCCAGTACCATGCATAGCCAAATGTACGTACCTAGACTGAGGTATGAACAGGACAGCATGAATTTTCCAAATGTGCTGATGTTTCGAAGTCCAAACAAAACTTGAGCAATGCACTTAAGAGATGATTGTCGAGTGTTGCATATTCTTCATTAGCTGGTGTATATAAAAGGATAGGTAACTCTGGAAGAATGTGCGGGCTAGAACATACTAAGCTAGCAGAAGGATTAAAGGGACGGATCCTTTTGTCCTGGGTGCAGGTCAGTCTGAACTGTCATTCTGCTTTCTTCTGACCTTAAAATTAATGAAACCTTCATGTATTGTTGGTACTGAGGGCAGGGGTACTTTGCACCTCTGAAACTTCAGTAATATGCCTATTTTTGCTCTATGTGCCAGTGCCTATCGATCTGTAATGTTGAGCTGCATGCAAAAAATGGTCAAACATGATGCTGACTGTATGAAATCTAAATGCCAAAAGCTCCCTAAAACTTCACCAACACTGAGGGAGGCCTGGCCTTGGTGTGTGTTAAATCAGTTATGCAGGCTTTAAAATTGCATTGTTATGGATGAAATCCTGACCTGGGTGCTTTTTTTTTTTTTAAATATTTATGTCCAGGCAGAACTAATTTTAACTGAAAATATTTATGTGTTTTTCTTCACAGTTCCCTGAAATATCACTAGCAGTGACGATTTTGAGTGATTCATATGTTTACCAAGATGTTTCATTCGAAAACTAAATGGAAATTGGATTCATGTATGCTACTATTAGCTGAAATTTGTGTTTGAGTGTTTTGAGGGATGGAGGAAGGAACAGGAGTTTGGAGGGTAGAGCAGCAAAGTGTGCTGCAAATTGAGGCTTGCGCTGTAAAGGCTCTCCTAGAATTCATGGACGGGTGCAGAGAACCACGTATTGTCTCTGTTCATGTTCTGAGCTGCCTGGTTAAGCCTGCCCATAAGATGGTGTCAAAAAGATGTTGAGTGTGCAAAGACATAAAATAAAATGACTGACTGGAGGTGGGCCAAGTTCATCCCGAGCAGCCAGCCATCTGCCAAGAGTTCGCTCCATGAAATAAAGAACTGTGCCTGAGGGCTTTTTGTCCTGGGTTTTAGCACTGAAAGGAAGTACGGTATCATGAGTGCTTGCCTGACACAAGGCATGTGAAACACTTCCTCTACAAACCTGCGAAGTTCAGAGCATTGTGTAGTGGCCACTTGTCTGCAGTAGGGTATTGTTTCTTTGAGGGCAAGTGGTAGGAAACACAAGAGAGATGCTAAAAGAAATGGGTGGGAGTTGCTCTTTCTTGTAGTTGTAAGATGCTACTAATAACAATGATCTTTCTTAAAATAGGAGGAGAATTCTGGATCAAGGGTCCTATTGAGCTTTGAGTTTTCTTCCCAGTGGGAACAGGAAAGCTTTGCCATTTGCAGAGGACAGATCTTGCACAAAGAAGGTAGAAGGTACTGATCTTAGACCTGGATTTTAGGCCTTGTTCCAAGGGCTGTTTATGCTTTTCACATAAACATGAAATGTGAAAGGCATAAACAGTCCTTGGAGACTGGAAGACACATGAATTCCAAGAAATTTAAGATAAAGTGAAGTGCCTCTAGAACCTGCTAAATCTGGAGAGCATCTACTTACAATGTTGTGTACATGTAGTTGAATTCCAGCCACTCTGACAGATCTGGCCCCGGCTTCTTTCAGTCAGACTGCAGAAAGTCCCAGGTGATGACAAGGATGGCACGGGGTTGCAGCCCTGCTGTTAGCCTATCCAAAGGGATCATATTCTCTTGGAAACTGAAGCAGGAAGTCATGCTGTCCAGTATTTAGAACACTTAGCTGAAGTATAATGGCTGTTAAACATACAAATCACTAATGCTGCCACAATGTCATGTTCCTTTACTGCAGAAACATTTTTACAAAGACACGTGAAGTCCTTTTGAGGGTCTTCATTAAAATAGTCATGGAGACTGAAAGTTCTCTGCTCCATCAGCAGAGACATACGTATGGTAAGCACGTCAGACCTGTGTTTGGGAGAGTGTGTTTTCCTACTGTTAAAAGGGATAGTTCCAATAAACAGCTAGCGGGACAGTGTACTTCTTGATTTGAAAGTTACATAAGCTTACCCACATTTTAAAGTTTTCAAGCCCTGTCTTTCAGAGATCAAGTCAAAACTTGGAGCCACAGAAGGTCCAAATGATATTTGAAAATGTTCTGAAGAATTATTGTCCATAAATGTGGTGGTTGGTTTTGGTTTTTTTTTTTTTTAAGACAACCTTGGGATTATTTGGAGTTGACTCATCCTTTCTGATCTCTATGTTAACAAAATACAAATGGAGAGGACAGATAATATGTGGTCCCAGGAGCTAGGAACAGTTAATAGGAATTAAAAATAGGCAGTCTTGAGGAAATAAAAAGAAATCAAAATTAAATAAAAGAGAAACAAATGAATTCTAAGTGAATTTGCAGAGCTGGAGACTGCAAGGTCTGACTGTCTGATTTTTAAAAGTTTCATCGTTAAATGTAGAATGTTCCTTGGGAAAAAAAAAAATCATAGTTATTGATTTTTGTTTTACCAAGAGCTACCTCTGCTGGCCCAGTTCCTTATATGCATTTCATGTCCTGTTTTCTCAATTTTCTTTTAGCACATGTACGCAAAATCTAAATCACTTCTTAGTGTATCAAATATCACATCACAGTTCAACACTCAGCTAGTTACTGGAAGCTATAATAATTGAAAACGTGTTTATACTGGGCTTGAGAGACAAAACTCCCCTGAAGTAATTTATCTTCCGTCTGCTTTCCCTTGTTTCTAAGCGTATTCATTTTTTCTTTTTCAGTACAAATACAGGGTTAAAAAAAAGGCAGTGAGGTAGGTGTAGTCAATGACATAGGTGTAGTATAGGTGGGTTCTTTTTACATGAACTTTTAAAAATACGGATTACATTTCCTGTCTGCCATCTCCTTTTAAAGCCATTGGAAAGACTCTGCCTCAGAGGGTGTTTTCTGTTTATTTCCTGTTCTGCGTTGTTGTTTCCCTGGGTGGGTTATCCATTCCCACGGCTGTCAAGCTGCCTGCAATCGGTGCCATTTGCAAATATCCACGAAGAGAAGGGAATGCCAAGGGATCTCTGCCATTTTCTGATGGGTTTCCTGTGATGCCCTTTGGTAGAAAGAAAAGAACGCGCAGATTTCTTTTTCTCTCTGGATGTCACTGCTACCCCGGCCAAAATGAAGGTCAGCAATAAACTGGAATTTTTTTCTGCGGTGAAAGATTTGCATAACAAAGATGCCAGAAACAGACCACTATAGATTGCAATTGGGCTAGAAGAAAGCTTTTAGAAAAGACATCTCCTTTATAAAAGACATTTTCCTTTTTGTAAATAAGAAACTTGAAGGATATACTGTGTGGAATGATACCGTCTGTGATATACAGATATTTCTAAATTAGTATGGCGAGAATAAATCATTAACAGACTCACTGTAATCCTTACTAACGCCTTACATTTTAGTAGTATTAATTTTAGATACTACCATTGTGTGAGTGGCTTCCTTTATCCCACAGGCTGCTGCCAGAGGCCGATTTAGTGGAGCCAGAGTAGGCAGGTGCAATAGCCGCTTGGTAACGGCAGAGGGAGCTGGGGAGACGGCAAAAATACTGTGGGGAAAGGATGACGTGAAAATGTTTCACTCTTAATCCACTCTAATTTTATTTGATACCTGAACAGTTCCATCCTAATTTATTCTTCTTCTAATTGATCTAGAAAATCATAGAATCACAGAATGGTTTGGGTTGGAAGGGACCTTAGAGATCATCTAGTTCCAACCCCCCTGCCATGGGCAGGGACACCTTGCACTAGACCAGGTTGCTCAAAGCCTCATCCAGCCTGGCCTTGAACACTTCCAGGGATGGGGCATCCACAACATCTCTGGGCAACCTGTTCCAGTGCCTCACCACCCTCTCTGGGAAGAATTTCTTCCTGATACCTAAATCTAAATCTGCCCTCTCTCAGTTTAAAGCCATTGCCCCTTGTCCTGTCACTACAGGCCCTTGTAAAAAGTCCCCCCCAGCTTCCTTGTAGACCCTCTTCAGGTGCTGGAAGGCTGCAATAAGGTCTCCCCAGAGCCTTCTCTTCTCCAGGCTGAACAAGCCCAGCTCTTTCAGCCTGTCCCCATAGCAGAGGTGCTCCAGCTCTCTGATCATCTT